GGCACTGACAGGCGGGATCGAAGCAGCTTGCCTCATGAATTACATGTAATTAAATTATGTCGATCGTTTGGGCGTAACCCCCCTTCCCACCTATATCTACCCTTCAAACAAACAAACAAACAAACAAAGAAAATAGACAATCAAACAAACAAACAAACCAAGACAAAACAAAGTAACAAACAACAAACAAACAAACAGAACAAACAAACAAAACAAAATAATACAAAAACATCTGACTTTCGGCTACCAGTGGTGCTGCCAATACCTCAAAATACGAAGACTCGAATTACCTCTTCCTCCAGCCCATCGCAAGATTTAGGAGGGGTGAAGATGGACGGGTCCTTGATGCCCATTGTGACGTCAGAAACCTGCAGGCTGCCCAAATCCCCACTGTCGGGAACTGCGGCGCCACTATTAAAGGTCATCTGCACTGCCATACAGGCTACAGATAGAAACAAATCATAACAATTATATTATACAGCATGCAGATTGCCGGAAAGTAGGTTTTAAAAGTTTGCACAAATTCTGGTAACTTAAGTTTGGGCACTTACAAAAATATACAAATTAGCAATCGATTTCGAATTATATCACCATTATTCTTAACAAGCACGACAAGAACAATCGAAGGGGACTCTCGTGGCCAAGATGTTAAGGTGTTCGCCTCTCTTTCAAAGGTCTCGGGTTTGAATCCGGGTAGCGACCGAAAAAAAATTGTCTCCTTTCACCTCCTTTCCTGCTCTCTATCTAGACAAGACTAGCAATGTTCTGTCGTCTGCTTTCGTCTCCTCTTTCTGCCTCCACCCCCTCACCTCCTTTGCACTCTCCTCTGGGCTTCTAACTCTTTCTGCAGCCTTTCTACTGCTACTCCTTGGCTCCTTCTTACTGCTGTCTTTCAGTCACACCTCTGATCTTCTGGTAGGAAAGATCTACACCTAGCCTTCTCGGACAAGGGCAAAAAATCTCGGAGTGTCCCCTGTGCAAGTTGTGCATATTTAAGATTCCTTGGTGGTCCAAAAACGATAAGTGTAGGCTTCGGCCGCCACCCGGGCAAAAATTCAAAATCTCCTACCACCTGAAAATATTTGGTGTGTCCCGCACGCTCATAATATGACCTTGTTATGCAGTAGTGAGCGCTGTAAAACACTAACAAAAAAAAAAAAAGAAAAAAAAAAGGGATACCATGATCTCTTTTTCTCACTATTCGTGTCCAACCTCACCTTTGCGGTCTACGATGGCAGTATAGACCGTTGGAGAGCCTGGAAGGCTGTACGCGTAGGTTTCCACAGCTGTCTCATTGTCACCGATGAAGCCGCTGGAGGTGTGGATGGCGCTGTCTTTAGAACGAAAAGGGAAAGTTAAAATTGTTGGCTATTGACAGTTTTGGGGGTAAATTGCGAACGTTTATAAACAGAAAACAGCTGGATGTGCACCCGGACGTGGGGGACCTATACTTTACTTTTGCCGACATTGTTTGTGACTAAATTGCGACCAGTGCTTCTTTGAATGGGCGAATGATGATGATGATGATGATGATGATGATGATGATGATGATGATGATGATGATGATGATGATGATGATGATGATGATGATTTTTTTTAAATGGCGGG